TTAATTTATAACGAATAAAACAGAGACCGAAAGATTTCTGTTTACGCACCTAAAACTACCATCGCTTATTTGGCGTCTCGCAGCTTGAGAGTCTCCACTTTAAATAGAATACATTATGGTTTTGACCGACTAGCTGACTACTTACGCCTTTGCGCTCTGCTTATTTTTACCAGTCACTGACGGAAGAGTCCGACTTGCAGAAAAAAGAAAAAGGAGACTCGGGAGACCATTTTCATTCTCATCTGAGAATATGATTAACCGAACGCGGTATTAGTTTATAAGTGAGCTATTCTCTAACTTAGGTATCGCCGAGAATATGGCTTTCTAAAATGTCGATTCTGAATTCACAAGCATAAATCATATTCAGCAGTATCGCTAAAGCCTCACCTTGTTAGGCTGAGGTGTCGGGAGGGGGATATTAGTGCTATCTACCTAATTAAAGTAATCGATTTGATTTTTTTCTTTTCAGTCCGATGTTATTCATTCAACGTAACGCAGCAGGGCGCTTGTGTTGGCTAGGGTGGTACAGCACCAGAATCGTGGTAGTCTTCGACGCAGCTGTTGGTGTAATCCTGATTATTGAAATAGAGGGAAGAGACGTCGATTCGGCACTGCGTAAAGCATTCATCTCTTCAATGTTACAGTCGTTACAAAGTTACAGTTAAAGGGTCAGCAAAGCGCGTTCGATCCGCGTCAAAAAACAACGTTGCCACGATTACAAAGATTTCATTGGAGTAATTTGGCGAGGAGTTCGTCAATCAGCTGCGTTTTTAAGCCCGAACCGTGTGTGCGTTCTTAATTTACAACATCTGAAGTCTGACTTTATTCGTTTACACTACTCGACTACTACTAAATACGTCATACGCTAAGGACAAGTTTAATCTCGTCGACGGGGCTCGAGAAGATGGAACGGTTAAGTTTGGTTTTTGAAAGCCTTCTATAAATGTCGCTACTGTGAAAATGGAAACAATACAAAATACCTCATTCGGCGACTACGATGTCAAAACGCAAGTTATAAAAACGTTGTAAGAATATATATATATATGTATATGTCGTCAAGTACGTTTGCTTATATACACAACTTCTTTGTTTACATTCTCAGCACTTAGCTAAGGCATCAAAAGGGTAAGAGCAATGCAGTAGTTGTGACCTACCGATTATATTTTACATATTTTTTCTATTCCTATTTATACTTTAAATGCCGAAACGGACGGTTTTTAAGGCTTATACATCTCAATTGCTGTTTTGATTAATCGGACGAAACTATGATACGAAAATAAAGGAACATGGAGCTTTTTTGTTTGCCATGTCGTACTGGAGTTTGTAGCAGGAGATTTTCTTTTTGTAGCTGCGAGCAGAAAGCAGGCTGTTTTATGGCTTAATGTAGGCGTATCGGCTGTGTTCCAGTGAAAACGAACTAAATGAGGGGGCGAGAGCAGGATTCTCTAATAGAGAAATTAAATATTGATAGGTTTAATACTACGGCCTTCTCTTGGTTAACAAAAAAGCTCCATAATGAAACATTATATTCTGGCTTAAGGAACTGCCTTATCTGCTTGAAATATATAGGTCCAACAAAGAACCCAAGTGTGTTACATACTCGGCATAAATTCACATGTGCTAGTGAACAAAATTTATTACATTTATATTGCTTTATCTAGCTTCTGTGGCACGATGTATGCTCGACTTAACGGTTCAGTTTTGTAGCGGTTTGGCTAGGCGTGGGAGTTATCTGTCTACAAAGTGGTGTATTCAAAATGAAAAAATTTTGGCGGGCTATTTATCGTAACGGGCGTGCTTTCATTCGCTATTCCTAATTTCAGACCAAAACCAGTTCTTTGTAGAACATGCGGTTTTCAAGAAATGGGAGGGCTGACATGAGACAAACTGGAAAATCTTTTTTACGGTTTGCCTTCAAGAAGCTCGAAAAATCTTCAGAGACTTCTTGTACGTTTTGCGTCTTTCTAACTTCTTGCTTCCCTTGAGAACTTGCATTTAAGACTTTTGTATTGCTATTAGTCCAAAATTATATTTCGTTGAAATTTCTACAACTACGGCAAGTTTACACAACAAGTAGAACAGGTTCATAAATTTACTAATTAAATACAAACGCTGTGAGTTATTTTCAGGTTAAAGAAGAAATGTTTTAAGTTCCGAACCGAAACTGTCATCTTAATGGATAATAGCTATATTGAATATGCATGACCGTCAAGAAGGACACTTTTAACACATGCGAAAAATCCCGCTGAAATATCTACTTATCTTTATTTATCTACAGTCTTAAAAACAAATTGTAAGCAAACAGCTCAACATGAATATTGATTTCTTCCTTGAAACTCGATAATAACAACATCTGGTCCTCTTAACTAGAAAATTGTAAAACGTTAAAGCACTATCACGGCCTCCGACTATAGAAACAGACACACGCTGTTCTATCGGTCTGCACATTGAGGGTATGCGATAGACAGATACACAGAGCTCGCAGTAAAGGCGAGTTGGCAGAATATCGAAATCGCAAAGCGCAGATATAACGTCCATTAAATTTCCTGCTGTTCTGCAAACCCCGATGTTGTCAGTCCTGAGAGAAGCGGAAGGAAATGGTGCGGATGACTGCCTGTAGCGGCGATTATGTTTTTGTCTCTGCATTCCTCAATAGCCATTTCCCCGAGGGAACTTGGGAGCAAAGACTCTTTCACGTCTGCCGTCGCATTCCGATGACCCCAGGTTCCCTTGAATCCCATTTGTCGCCATTGGAGGAGCACGGCTTGCGCCGTATCACGGATGTTTCGAGAATGTACTTTTATCCAGTTTATATATCTTTTTACATCACGCTTTTGCTCGCTTTTGTATATCTAGTATAGTCATGATTATTAATTAACCTGTTTCGTTCACTACATTATTTATATAAATCGCTCATACAAATCACGAATAGTATATTGTGACGGTATGTACAAATATCCGCTCTGCAGAATACGTTCTTTAAATGATCTTAACGCATTCACATAGTTAATACAAGGGCTCACTGAGTAACAGGTCCAACGGATTGATCTGTAACATCAAACTAATGTGAATCGCATAGAGTTTTTACACCACAAATTGACCTCAAGACCACTGAATTATTTTAGGATCGTACATTTTGGGCAACTTACAAACACTTCGAGAAGTTTAGTACTCGTTGCGCGTATTAAAAAATGTACGAAAAATAATTTATACGTTACAATAACAACAGGAATGGCAGGAATAATTGGCTTTACCCACCATCTCAGACATTTTGACCACACTTTGTAAAACATTCATCTTCTGTTTTGAACGTTGCAACATGTAACAGTTGCGTGACACTTGTTAGCTTACGGTAGTACCTTGAATATTTTCAATCTACCTCTACTATCCATTTCAAAGTGTTTAAATTTTCCAACGCATAATGTGTATTTTCTCAGTTATTTTATTTTACGTTCACCAAATGCCAGTTCTATTCAACAGCCTCTTGCCTCTTGCCTCTTGGTTTTACTTTAAGTCTTGAGGTTCTATAATCCCTGCTTGTTCTTAGCATGTCCCTTGTTGGTTTGATCTCATTTTTCAGAACTTCATATTCGTTAGATGTATTAAAAACACCACGTTCATAACTTTAGCAGATTCAGAAAATTACTCCAGTACGCCTTAATCCGCGCAGTGATCAACACCTCATAGGCCGCACTCAACACCCCCTCACGTCCTATCAAGGCAAGTCGATTAGAGGAAGCAGGCATCATAACCTAATGTACCTGACTGGAATGCGGTGTATTCATACAGTATCAAAGGAGGCATGGCCCCAGCTAGACTAATATTTCTCCTGTGCATTTACTAACCCCCGCTTTGAAATTAAGATGCTTTCGCGGGAAACTTCTTCCGGATTCGTTCTCTACATGCAGGCAGCGCTTCTCGTCTATGCTGCTAATAGAACAAAACTCAAATTAAGCGTTGTCTTTCTTGGTCTTCTACGTATTTTTCTTTGAAGCTAATGTGTTTCCAAGTGCACCCTGCAATGCTACGAGTATCAAAACAAAATATAAATATATAATGAAAGCTCTTCCAATTTTTTCGAATTTTTCGGCATCATTTTTTCTAAGTTGCTTTTTTGGCACCGGTTCATTTGCCCTTCTGGAGCTAAAACATCAAGTGCTAATGGTTAAGGGATAAGCCGCGTTAGTACTGGTTGTTTCTTTTCGTTAGGTTACGAGACAGGTAGAAGCAATTGCACGAGCCCATACCATCAAATATATACACTCATGTCACTCACTTGACAAAGTCAACATGACCAAAAACAAGCCTAGAGTAGTAGATTACCGACTATAAAAATGGAGAATAGTTTTTCACGACATATAAATTACAAATAAATAAAAAAGATAATAACCTATATGCATTTGCAAACTATCATAAAATTGTGTCGTTACAAGCGTGAAGAACGTACGCAGCTTCAGCGAACTAGAAGCTGTCACTGGAAAACAGGAAACGATTAAGACTAGATAATAGTTTATTTTTCAAACTTGTCCACATACTGTTATTAGTATATTATACCCGTAGACACGACCGGGAGTAACCGATGTTTTAAACTATACTAAATAAACATAGCTACTACCTAATAATTTCACGTGAGTTTAAGTTACTGGTTCAACGTTTCGGGACAAAAATAACTACCAGAAGAAAATCTCATAGTTCATAGAGTTTAAGGCGTTCACATATATATAAACCCGTAACCATTGTCTAAGAATGTTCCGCGAAGCTAAACTCTCCGTTCCCGTCAATATCGAAGCTTCGTTATCTAGAAACGAACGTTTCTCTATGAATTTACGTTTACATCATCGCTTGGAAGAGTCAACATAATTCTACGATGGCTTTCGTAGTTTCCTATATGTAATAATCGGATCAATAATAGGTCAATCTATCGAATTTTTGCTGTTCAAGGTTTAAATAGCAATATTTTATACAGCAGATGACGGAATGCAAATTATAACGAGATGTAAAGCATTTTATTTTACCCAAAAAGGACAGTCTTAGGTAAATTGTACTAGATTGATCGCGGCCTCTAGTACTGAAACGGTTTCAACTGGCTGTCGTCATCAAACACTTCCACATTTAAAAATTAGAATGCACCCAAATCGAGGTAAAGTAAACCGTTTGTGACCCTTCCTTTGTCGTTAGCAAGTTGACACGAAGTCGCTACGGCAAGATCGTATCTGCGGCAAAATCAAAACCTATGGAAAGTGACCAAAAATGAATACTCTTTCAAAAATGATCAAAAAATCCATGACTTATCATAAGTGCTCAAATCATATAACTACAACGGCTGTAAAGCGACTACCGAGTGCTAGTTTAAGACATGACTTTAGCTCAACGTGAAATTTAGGAGAAGCACTTTGTTTTCATATCACCAATCGTGCATACAGGATGGGTTTGTTAGTGTGGGAAAAATGGACCCAACACTAACAAAACCCAACAACTATCAAAATTTGCTATTTCGACTTAAGCCTGTGCGCTACTTGAGGGAACGCTTGAGAACTGTCCTAGTTCAGTAAAATGTTAAAACCTTCTCTTGCATTTCGATAAGTCCACATTAAAAACGAATAAGCAAGACGAGAGGTAAGATTTCAGTACGTTGCTGTTAGAAAACGTAATACTGACTATCCAATACAGGCGACCCTTAAACAACAAGTACAATATTTGAGCTTGTATGGTAACAGATTAATCTGTAATATTTGCTAATAGGCATCGAAAAGGGCTTACGTTAGCTTCTAACGCTGGATGACGTATTCTCGTCCAATGAGAGTAGCTCGGAGTCTGGCTCCGGGTAAAAACCCCCGCCATTTACTTCGTTGGCTGACACGTTGAAATCTGTCACTTGATCAGGACCCCACGATACTGCACTGCTGTACATACGAAGCTCTCCATCTTCGGGCCTTGAGAAGCCGCTTCCGCCAGGTGTCTGCCAACTCAGTTAGTCAATTAAGATTGTACCGTTCCACCAACTGAGTATCGAATTATTGCTAACGCAATTTACATGATCACACCATTCTATGTTTTCTTTTCTTTTAATAACTATCTGCTCTACTAGAACCCTAATAGGGGAGCGGAAAAAACCTCTAACACACAGATACAAACGCTTTCAAAACGAAAGATTAATATCAGTTACCCACTGAAGGACATTGACAGTCCATTGCACATCTGAGTGAACCGGTGGCCACTGCTCGTTCAGATTTTAACCTTCAACTTACTGCCGCTGGAGAGTCAATTCGCGTGTAATGTATAAGGATTTCTTCCGGTTTGGAGGACGTGGATTGGGTCGAGTAATGCGACTAGCCAAAAGTGTTTTATCCAGAACTGGTGATCAAAGTTTATTTTTTGACGAATGTTATTTATGTACCATTCTTCTTATTACCGCAGAGATAGCTAGCTAGCTATTCGTCAACATCGAACTACAGAAAACAGCTACACCTCAACATACGCAAGTGGAATTTCAAATGGGTTCAACCATGATATTCTCATATAAATTAATATAAGTTATTATATTATATATATATATTAACATTATATTGTACGGCCTATGGTAGGTACTTGACCATGGACTACAATCGTGCATTTCTTCAACTACAATTCTGCTGTATTCTAACCTGGATTTAAAACCGTAAAATTGCGAAATCGGACCGTAAACAACCAGAAATTGACAAATAAAAGATTGCTATATCTTATTTGTCAATTTACGTCTGTTAGCAGAACAATTAAAATTAACCACTGGTTTCCAAAGTGTTTAGACCAAGTGGCCATGTTCCTCTAACTAGCTCCACACTTCTACTTTATCGTACGTTAAAAAAAATCCGCATATGTTCTTGTTCGTGATGAACCGACATGGGGTTCCCTGCGCTCGTTTCATTAAGCCCTTAGCGCAACTGTGAACGAAGACCGTGCAGACATAATATAAAAAATGCACAACAAGCTAGTTTACTTCATACGAAAATGATTGCACCTGCGACGGTACTTGACTTTCAACGTTTGCCTATCTAAAACCATTTTAAAATTCCAACGGGCAGGTTTATTCCGAAACGTGGCCAGCCTACAGACATGTGCCCTACATAGCTATTAAGCACCTAGAACGATGTGATTGGGCAACGTTAACTTCCCTATATATATAT